GGCTCCATTGGCCCCGGTCGATGTGAACGGCGTCCACTCACACCTCCACCTGTGAACAGGAGTTCGGATTTTATTAAATGGGCCCCGTGGGCGGGCAGGATTTCGAAAACCTGGTTCCGATCCTTGAAAACATCCGGGTCCGGGGGGGCAAGCAACCCTTCCTTCTGCACTTCAAGGCTGACAAAGGCAAGGGCTTCCCCCCCTCAGGGGCTGTGTTAGACAAGTCCCCCGGGGTTCCAAATTTTGAGGTCCCCCCGGGCAAAAAGCTTCCCCCCCCCCCCAAGAGGCCCTGGGACACCTCCGTTTTTGCCGACTGGGGGCTCTTTGGGCTCTTTTTTCCCTTTTTCCTTTGGGCTCCCCCCCCCCCCCCCACCCCTCCCCCCCTTTCAACTCCATGCCCCCCCCCCCCCCCACCCCTCCCCAGCTTATCGACCTCGCAGCTGCAGACCGGTCCGTGGTGGCGATCACCGCGGCGATGCCGGGCGGCACGGGCGTGGACAAGTTCGGCAAGCGCTTCCCGAAGAGGACGTTCGACGTCGGCATCGCCGAGCAGCACGCCGTCACCTTCGCCGCCGGCCTCGCCGTCGAGGGCATCAAGCCGTTCTGCGCTATCTACTCCACCTTCCTGCAGCGCGCCTACGACCAGCTCATCCACGACGTTGCGATTCAGAAGGCCGACCTCCGCCCCGCCCGCCCTCCGCCGCGGCCTCTCCCCTCGCCTTGCTACCTCCTCGCCGTCCGCCCGGATGCCCCCCCCCCTTCCCTCCCCCGCCGCCGCGCCCCGCGCACCCACATGCACCCCGCGCCCTGCACCTCGCGCCTCACGCCTCCCCTCCCCCGCCGCTAGCTGCCCGTCCGCTTCATCCTCGACCGAGCCGGCCTCGTTGGCAACGACGGCCCGACGCACCACGGATCGTTCGACCTCGCCTACATCGGATGCATCCCTGGCATCGCGCTCTGCGCGCCGTCGGACGAGGTCGAGCTGCGCAACATGATGCGCACCATCTACGAGGTCGACGACAAGCCGACGGCGCTGCGCTACCCGCGCGGCTCGGCGCTCGGTCTCGACGTGCTCAACGACCTCTTCGAGTACGGGCTCGACGAGTACCCTGCTCGCGGAAAGGCCCTCCCACTTGGCAAGGGCCGCGTCGTGCGCGGCGCGCGCGAGGACGTCTCCTCGCGCGTCGCCATCCTCTCCCTCGGCACGCGGCTCGCCGAGTCCGTCCTGGCGGCGCGCGCGATCGAGGGCGCGCACGCGGACGTCGGCGTGACGGTGGCGGAGATTCTCTCTGTTTCTCTCTTTCTCTCTCTTTCTCTCTCTTTCCTTTCTCTCTCTTTCTCTCTCTTTCTCTCTCCTTCTCTCCCCTTCTCGCGGCGCCGCGTCCGCGGCGTGTCGTCCCTCTCTGCTGACGGCGTGGTCTGTCCCCCTCCCCGCAGGTGGCGGATGCCCGATGGATGAAGCCGCTCGACACGGCGCTCGTCGCGCGGCTGGCGGAGGAGCACGACGTGCTCATCACGGTGGAGGAGGGCTCCATCGGCGGGTTTGGCGACCACGTGCTGCACTACCTCTCGCTGGGCGGCTTCCTGGACGAAGGCACGCTCAAGGCGCGGCCGATGGTGCTGCCCGACAAGTACATCGAGGCTGGCTCGATGGGCGAGCAGTACGAGGAGGCGGGCCTCTCCCAGAGGTTCATAGAGGCGACGGCGCTGCGGCTGCTGGGCAAGCCCGTCAGCATGGGCTCCTCCTCACTCGCCGACGAGGAGCCAACCATCGCGTGAGCCAGCGTGGACACGGCGCACGCGCGTGGGCCGCTGTTTGGCCGTGCCTTTGGGCCGTGCCGGCGCGGCAAAGCCGGCGGCCAACTTTCGCGGGTAGGGGCGCGCGCGCCGCCGGGAGGAGCATCGCTACGTGTCGCGCTCGCCGTCGAGGGCTGAGCCCCGCCGCAGCCCTAGCCATGCTGGCGTGCGGGCGGAGGAGGTGGGCGACGCCCCGCATTTGACTATCTGCATGTGTGCGGGCGGGGACGGCGGGGGCATGGGTCTCTCCCTATCTGTGCTGTGTACGGCGAGAGGCGCGGCCGCCGCCCGCGGACGGTGGCATGAGATCTGAGGTGACAGATCACACACTTCACAGATATTACGCCGGCGCCCGGCGGCGGCGCATAGGTTGAGTTTTTAAATAAATGAAAAGCGATGCGAGTTGCGACAGCCCTCAGCCGACACCCGACGACAGGACACCACACGGCACACGCACCCACATCGTCGACGTCGTTCGTCGCAGCTCGCACAGTCCTCGTCAGCAGAGTGCCCCAGAATCTCGAGTCGCACGGGTCACGGGCACGCGATTTCCCCTCTCTCATCTGTCAGCGGCTCGGACCCCTTGAGCGCCCCTTGTGACTGCTGCCGCAGCCCAGCAGCTCACCCACCGCGCCCGGCCAAAACGCGGGGCTGCGGAGCGGCTCCGACGGCGTGAAAGCGTTGTGCCAGCCCCGCGGCGCCAGCGGTGCCACTCCTCGCACCCACGCATCGTCCGCACAGCCGGAGCCGCCGCCATCGGCGCCGCCATCGGCGCCGCCGTCCGCCCCTGCACGCCCGAGCAGCCCGGCCGAGGGAAGCTCGAGCGCTGCCGCGTGCAGGAACATGCGGTAGGAGCGCCGGTCGGCGCCGTACGTGACGTCGCCGACGATGGGGTGGCCGATGTGCGCCATGTGCAGCCGCAGCTGGTGGCGCCGCCCCGTCTACGGCGTCAGCCACAGCAGCGACGCTTCCTTCCCTTGGTGCGGCGGCAGCACGAGCCTTCCGCGCGCAGCGACGGTCGCCGTTGTCCTGGCCGCCTAAGGGGAGGTCAGGTAGGCGTCTCCCCCCACACACGAGGTGGTGGGGCAAGGGCCAGGCTAGACCCTCGCATCTCCACGCCTGAACACGGGCAGGAGCCGGCACGGCGTTCGTGCAAGGCCCGGTGCACGTGCAGAGTGAGCAGCCTGGGACCCTGTCTGTGCTATTGTGTCTGCGTGTCTGTGCTATCGTGCGATTCGGGACCGGGGTTGTGCTTTTGTGTGAGCAGCCTGCCCCTCCCTCGTCCATCCCGTACACTGCCCGCGCCTTGCCCCAGGAAGCCTTCGTGACGGACTGACGAAACTTGCGGGCCGTCACCGCGATGCGCGCTGAGATGTTGCGCTCCTCCCACGTCGGGTGGCCAAAAACAAGGGCGGCGTACAGCTTCCGCGCCTGCCCCGAGAGATACGGCCGAGCTGTCCGAGATGCAGCCGAGATACGACAAAGGCGGCGTAGCATCCGCGCCTTCCGCGCCTCGAAGAGACGGCCGACTTCGCGCGCCGCGCCCTCGGACTTTGCACAAGCGACCACGCCGCTAGTGGCGTAGTCGAGGTTGTGGCAGACGCGGGTGGTGCCGGCGGCGGTCATGACGGACGGGTGCGTCCCCACCAGCCACTCGTGCAGCGACGGCTCGTCGGGCGAGTCGGCGCCAGCTGGCCTAGAGACACACACTTCCTAAACACCTCCCAGACGCTTCCCAGACACTGCCTCGCGAGTCGGCGCTGGCCTCGACGGCGCCGACATACGCACCTAAGGTGACCGAAGGACGGCGCGAGCTATTGTGATGGTGGGCGTCTGTCTCCTCATTCTTGCTGGCATGTGGAGAGCCGGGCGCTCGACGGTATCGGCATGTGGAGTGCGCTCCTGGAAGGGCTTGTGCACGAGGAGGAGCTGCTCGTCTTCGTGCACAGCGCCGAAGTCGAGCTCGAGGAGCTCCTATCTCGGACGAGCTCGGGGTGAGCTCGGCGCAGCCTCACAGCCTCGGCGGAGCGAGAGCTCTGTGCCGGCTGCTCCGAGATCAGCGCGACCGCCTCTCGCCGCGTGAGCACATCGGACCTCACGGCATGGAGCAGCGCCTGAGGAGACGTGCGCTCCGAACTGAGCCGGCGTCAACTTGGTGCGAACTGAGCCGGCGTCGAGAGAGGTTGGCGACCATATAGGGTTTGTTGGTCGCATGGTCGCTGGTCGTATGTTGTGTGTGCTCGTGCGGCTGCTTGCGCCTCGAGCCGGGTGGCGGCGCCTTGCGGGTCATAGGAAAGGTCCACGCAATGCTGGAGGAGGGCCGCGTTCTGCTCGGTTGTCGATCCGAGCTGCTGCAGCTGCGTGTGCATGCGCTGCTGGACTTCGCGAGCGGGGTGGAGGCGGCACAGGAGCATCGGTCTTGTCCGGCCTTGCGGCCGGCGAGATTGCTAGAGGCGGAGCGGAGCGGTCTGCTCTAGCCTCACACGTGACCCCCGGTCGCCTGTCTGTGTTTGTGCGCTGTTGTTTGAGCCCTTGGGGCTTGGCACCGTTCTCGAGGTTCTCGAGGTGGATATCCTTTGGCCGCGTTGGGTACTGTCGTACCCGGGTAGCCTAAAGTCTGGGCACGTTGTCGGGGACACGATGCCGGCGTGAACACGACTACCGCGTTGGTGTCCAGTCCGAGCCTGGCTGTTCTTCACCTTACTACCTACCTACCTACGACTAACTGACGGATCCGCTCCTGACAGTCGCACGCGCCGCGCTGTGGCGCGTGCGACTGTCTTTGTTTGAAGTTAAAAGTCGAATCAGAGCGGCGTCGGCGTTGTCCCCGGATTTTCTCCCCAGGACCGCCCGTCCGGCACCGCTCCGGGACGCACGCCGGCGAAGCACCATCAAGCTGCTGTACGGCCCCGGCATCGCCTCCCCTGGCTTAGCTCTCAGTCAAGATATTGTGCACATGGGTGGCCTCTACAATATACTCACTGACACTGAACCTCCCAGAGCTCGTCCCGGTCCGCCACGGCCATCCTCGTCCTCCGGCGGGCCCCCGGCCGCGGCGCGGTGCGGCGGCGTCACAAATCCGACGGCAGAGCACCGGGACGCGGTCGGGCGATCTAAGGCCCAGTGAGGCGTATGCATTGCCCATCCAGGGCTATCACCTGGACCCATCAACAGGCGCCTGCGGCGCCGTGGTCAGGAGCTGCTGCTCCAACCTGTTCACACTTTCGTACAGTACAGTAGCGAGGATTGGTGTAACCCTATGAGCATGGCCGTGTTTAATATCAATACTTGAGTAGTTAGCTGTTAGTCAGTATGATATAGCTGTATGTGCCGACGTCGGTTGCTCGGCGTCGTGTTGCGCCGCTACTGGAAGTGCGCGCATGTGCAGTTGATGTGTGTAGACGATCGTTCACTACCTGTAGGGCTGGGCAGGAAGAGAGGGTGGCTGCGATCCTCCCGCTCCTTGCGCAGTACGCCCAGAGCCCGTGGTCATCGCAGCATCATACCCCTAGGCGGCCACGCTCATCCTGCTCTCCTTCCGCGGCCGCGCCAAGCAAAAGCGCCATCGCGAGCGGATCCGGCGGCTGCTCGGGATTCAGCAGGAGCTGCTCATCCAAGCGGTCGTGCAGATCGACACGCGGGTGGAGCGCAAGAAGCGCGACAGCATGTACCAGCAGCTGCGGCGCGAGCGAGAGTCACGAAAGGCGGTCGGGGAAGAGAAGGTCCACTCAGTGCGCTTGGCGGTGCGGCGGGTACCCGTGCAGAGTAGTCAGCGCCTTATTAGGTAGATGCGCATCCAAGAGACGGCTCGTCGCGCGTGCGAGGTTAGAGGACTGCTAGTCAGGGGAAAGACTCTGTGCTGCCCACCCTTGAAGGAAGAGGAGTGAACTTTCCTGGCAGGAAGCGCACGAAAAAGAAACCGCCACCCACCCGTTGAGTGCCTCTTGCCGCTCTTCCGTGTCGGGTTGTGACGAGGGGTGAGGGGACACGGATTGAAGATCCCTCACACCAAGATCGTGCAGGGCGGGGACACATGTCCCTAAATCCCCTCTCGTCTCAGACGCGGCCGTTTTATTTATTTGAGTGCCGCCACGTCACGTTTGTGACAGCTGCTGTGTCGAAGAATGCAGCCTGCTCCCGCGACGTGCGGCGACCCGCGCCTCAGCAGCCGGCGCGTCACGGCGCAGATCGCAAGGGCGCACACGGCCTACTTTCTGACAAACGGCCGTAGCAAATTTTGGGGCGCCGGATTCCATGTCGAAAAGCTGATCAACGCTCTCCGCGATGCGGAGCTGAGCTTGGGGCGGCGGCGCGCCGCGGCTCCGCCGGTCCTCGTCGACGTCGGCGCGGCACCGTACAACACGATCGGAGGCGACATCTCCCACGTTCTGACGATGGCGTCGCTGTGGAACGAGAGCTCGGCGATGATCCTCGGGTTCGAACCTGGCGTGCATCCGTTCAGCCGCCTCAAAGACTTCATCGGCAAGGCGGTCGGCCGCCCGGCGCGAGACTGCACCGACTGCGCCGACGACGCTGGGCAAACCGCCAACGTCGCCTCTGCTGACGGCGCCTGCCCCGCCGCCGCCCTCGCCTCCGCCGCCGTCCGGCATGCCACCGCTCTCGCCCTCGCCTCCAGCCACGCCGCCCCTGTCGCCGCCGCCAGCTCCTCGGCCCATGCATTCTGGTTGACGCATAGGCCAGCCGTGGGTCGTGCTCCGCAACACGCCGCTCAGCAACACGGAGAGGACGGTCCAGGTGATCATGCCTGTATCTAGATGCGGAAGACAGCCTTCTCGATCATGTCTACATGCGGAAGACAGCTAATTCTCTCTGCTAGCCGTATGAACGCGTCGGGCTGGTGGGTCAAAATGGTTGCGCGTGTTCCAAGATTTAGCACTCGAGGACGACAGTCCGCCGTTTGCACTGCCACCCGTAGCCCTCGTACGCACGCGGTGCTCCCTTGATTCTGGCTGTGTCGATTCAGATCGCCAACAGCCCCGGCGCGGGCGACAACACCGCCTCGCTCGAGCGAAACTACGGCGTGGCGAGCGACCGAGGGCGCGAGGTGCGAGCGGTTACTCTCGACAACGAGCTGCGGCGGCGCGGGCTTGACGGCAGAGAGGTGCTGCTGCTCAAGGTGGATGTGGAGGGGCACGAGCTCGCCGTGCTGCGCGGCGCCGACAAGGCGATCGGCGAGGGGCGGGTCCCCTTCATTCTCCTTGAGTACGGCGACAAGATGTCGCCCGCGATTTGGGGCGCGATGAAGCGGAGGAACGACGCCACGCCGGCTGCACCGACGCCGGCGCTGCTCGAGGGTCCCTCCCTGTTCAGGCTGCAACGGTGGGCGGATGGGCGGGGATACGACACCTACCTGCTGGGCGAGGGCGACGGAGGGCGGCCGGTGCTCGTGGGGGCGACGGGGCGCTACTGGCGGGACTCGCTCGAGGTCTGCCGCGACAAAGGCCAAAAGTGGTCGCGCGACGGGCGCCTGTGGGAGAACTTCTCGGCATGGGACCCCTCGTGGTCGGCCGTGTGTTGGTACGACGTGCTGCTGGTGCTGCGCAAGCCGCTCGAGCCGCAGCTGCGACAGCTCCTTCTGGAGCGCACCAGCCTGCCTCCGAGGTTCTGCAGGCGGCTGAGCGATGGCTGGTACCCGACCTGGGTGGACGCGCCGACGCCGGAGCGGCTCTGCTGCTCCGTGCAGAACCTCAAGCAGACGGACGTTTGCGGCACGTTCGTGGCTTGTGCCGGAAGCGAAAATAACCCCCCGCTTCGAGGTTTGCGGCACGTTCGTGGCTTGCGACGAGCACGCTGACAGCGCCGACACGCGCGGCCCTGAGGGCGCGCGACGGAGGCTGCCACAGGGACAGCTCACCAGCCTCGAGCGTTCCACCTCTGCTCACGCCATATGTGAGCGACGGTCTCGAGGGGCAACGAGGGGCGCGCGGGCTGAAGAGGGGAGCCGACGCCGCGAGTATATTCTAGCGGGCGCCGCTGCCGCCGCCGTCATGAGGAAGAGGGCGGGCTCGGCGGCCGGGAGCAGCGTGTGCATGTTCGGCAGATGCGCTGGGCAAGGGAGCACGCGGTTGTGAGCCTAGGCCCTGCTTTTGCGTTTTGGTCGAAACAATATAGTTCGAGAGAAACTGAGACTCCAAAGTGTGCGTCACGAGACGGGACGAAAGCTTCTCGGTGAAGCTGCCGGAAATCAAAGCTCCTCCCTACCAAGAGGCCTACAACTCCGAGAAGGCAGGGGTGTCCGAGTCCGTCGTCGTGAAGTCGCTGAATGAAGGCAATTCGAGCAAGTGAAGCGTCATTCTAGCACATGGGCCAGAAGTCGTTGCCCATGATTTTCCCACCCTGCCATGCGTCGTTGTAGAACCCAGCTGACCTAGTGTTGGCTTCGTGCAGGGCCGACTGGTAACTTGGCTTTGGCGAGGATGGTTTTGGCGCCCCTGGTGGCGCCGGGGGAGTGACATTGGGCGCGATCGCGCCCGAACCCTTCATGGTGCTGTAGTAGGCGCGGTTCATGGGCTGGTTGTGCCTCTTGTCCTCCGCCCACACGCCCGTGAGCCAAACCATCCTGCGTGGCGCAAGTGGGGCGGGGAGCAACGACCGTCCACGACGTCGGCCGTCCCGATAACTACCAATCCACTCGACACATGGCTGCCGACGGGCCGGCTCCCTATATCCCACTCCTCGGAAGTGCTGATCGTGCGAAGTCCACTCGCGCAGCCTCCCTAGCCCTCGGTGGCATCGCACTCGGCGCGCTGCTTCTCTTCGCCGCCGGTTCAGAGCTGCTTCCATTCCCGGCCCAGCTGCTCCAGCTCCCGCTAAAGAGCTTTGAAGCAAGCGCAACCGTTGCTGCTCGCCCTCCCGACGCCGTAACCTCGCTGCCGGGCGCTCCGCCGCTGGACACCGTGCAGTACGCTGGCCTCGTCACGGTCAACAGCACCGCGCGCAACAAGCTCTTCTACTGGTTTGCCGAGTCAAGCCGCGTGAAGGACGACCTGGAGGAAAAGAGCAAGGTGCCAATCGTAATATGGCTCAACGGCGGGTGCGGCTCCGCCCCAGTGGTCAGCCCCCCGCCCGCCACTCCCTGCCCCTCCTCCCCGATGCCTCGCCTCGCGTGTGCAGGCCGGGCGCCTCCTCCATGACGGGTTGGCTGATTGAGAAGATCGGGCCGTTTGAGCTGCAATCGGACGCCGCCACGCTTACTCCGACCGGCCTACCCTGGCACGAGCTCGCGCACGTCATGATGTGGGATCAGCCTGTGGGGGCCGGCTACGCGACCACCGCGACCGGGACGTACGCCGCGAGCATGGAGGAGGCAGCAGCCGACCTGCTCAAGGGCATGACAGAGTTCTACAAGATCCACCCAGAGTATAAGGATTCCGACGTGTACGTCACGGGCGAGTCCTTTGCTGGCAAGTGGATCCCGCACTTTTGCTACCACGTCTATGAGACAAACAAGGCGTTGGTGGCGAAAGGCGAACCGGTGGCGATGCCGCTCGTCGGCATGGCCATCGGCAACGGCGTGCTATACCCTTACCTGCAGACCGAGGCGATGGTGACGATGGCCACTGGGCTCGGGTACACGGATCCGGAGAAGCTGCGAGTGGCGCGCAAGAACCTCAAGGCGTGCAAGCAGGCGCGTGCTCTCGAGGACAGGGTCAGGCCCTAGGCTCATTTTGAGCGCCCGCACCTACCTCCTGCCGCCGCGCCGCAGGAGCTCGAGGCCATTGACGAGATGAAGGAGCGGCCTGTGCCATCTCATGATCTGTGGAAGAGCGCCTACTTCAAGTGCGACGCGCTCGAGAAGGTCTTTGGCGAGGCAGTCAAGTTCATCTACGACATCCGATCGCCGGCTGACGAATTCTCTGCCCTCAGTGGCTGGCTGAGTAGCCACGCGCAGTCTCTTTTCGCGGCCGGCACCCGAAGCGCCTCTCACGCGTTGCTGCTGTTGAGCAGGCGAGTACCTCAACAAGGAGGAGGTTCGCAAGGCACTCAACGTCGGCGAGACCAAATGGGTGCAGCAGGATGGCGGCAAGCCGGGCAACCCCGTGAGCCGACCATAGTGGCCGCGGATCTCGGCGACAAGCGCTGCACCCTCGGCTTTGTGTCTCGCAGGTGAGCGACGCCCTGTGGGAGCCGCAGATCTCGGACCTGCCGGACGAGATGCTAGCGACGCTGTTCAATGAGTACAAGGTGTTGATGTACGCGGGCCAGTACGACGGCAGCAGCTGCAACGCGCTCGGTGTCGCCCAGTCCGTGGACGTGGTCGCAAACGAGGGCAAGTGGGCGGACGCGAGCAAGTATGCGAACACCACGGCGTGCACTTGGACCGTCAATGGCATCCCCTCGGGCGTGCTGCGTGCGACCGGCAAGTTTGGGAACCTCGTCTTTCTCAACTCAGGCCACCTCGTTCCCATGAACCAGCCCGCCGCGGGCTACGAGATGATTCGCCAGCTGGTCTACTCGGACACGTTCACCGACATGTGCTGATCTCTTTCTAGCCGTCGAAGAGTATTGCTAGCTGCGGGTGTCAGTCCTCGAGTGCGAGCGATTTGGAGGAAAAGTTCTTTCTTTTGCACTGGGTGTATACTGTTTTCGGCGCCCTGTGTGCGCCCCTCG